TGTACTGCATTCTGCTAAGTGTTGCAATGATGTGTACCCCTGGTGATGCAGCAGAGTGTGATGCTATTTTTGTGCATAAAGAGGAGGGAGATTTGAATGGGGTGTGCAGTCTGTCCCACAGAAGCACCCCCCACTGCACTGATGTTTTTAATTTGATTTCTAATCCACCTTTCTACCCAGGGGAATGACACTCAGGGTGTCTTAGGTTCTCTGCTGCCTCCATCTCTCTTTCCAGTGGATGAGTGATAGGATGAGTTAGGCCACGAAGAGAGATGCATTGGACCAGGCTTAGGCAGACCTCAAGCTTGTCAGCTCGACTGTCTCTTTCACCTTTTACATGGCGGTCTCCTGGTGAGACCCGCTGGGTGCCCACTTCATACTCTCCCTGGGGCCAGCTTAAAGCTTTTTCCTTTTCCCAGGCACTGGATGGCCTTGGGAGGGCTTTCATGGTTCATGGGGTCCTGATAGTTTAAAGGAAATGGTTTTCAGCAGTTTCAAATGTTGTATGTTTTGATCTTGTTGGAAGTCACCTTGTTGTCTTGTGTCATCAAGTCATCTCTGATGCAGAGTGTTCCTATGAATTAATGCCCTCCGAACTCTCCTCTCCTTGACAGCGCTGCTCAGCAATTCTGAGTTCAAGTCCTGTATGAATTCAGTCCATCTCTTTCTTCTGCCTGACTTTCCCTAGCATGATTGTCTTCTCCAGGGAGTCTTGCCTTCTCATGATGTGTCCAAAGGATGACAGCCTCAGCTTCTAGGAAATCACCTTGGGTCCACTTTGAAAAGAAAGGTGACCGCCGGTGCAATGAATGGGGATGTCTGTAGCCCTCTGGTCTTGGCGATGGATGGGCAGAGGCAAAGGTGGCCTCTCCATTCCTCCATGCTCTGTGAAGCAACGGCATGGCCGATTTGGGCCCTGTAACAGTAGTGATTCAGAGGGGAAGGGAAGGAAGCTGAGGCACCACCAGGATACGTCATACCTTGCTGACACCAGATTCCTTCTCTGCCTCCTCCAGGGCGCTCCCTAAAGCCCTTCTCCGAGGTCCTTGGAGAGGCAGCAGGTGTGGTTCTTTCCACATCAGTTGGAATCTGTGGCTCTCCACATCTGAGGCTGGAGCTCTTTCTCCACCTTGGAGCTGGGGAAATGAACGACCCTGTGGCCCTCTAGATGCTGCCTAAGCACTTAGGATTGTCCTGCCTGGAATACAGTTTGTACTGGTAATGGATGGTCACAAGGGCAGTGGTAATTATTAGAGCTGGGAGAGTCACCAGCCAGAGCCAGGTGCGAAGGGCTTACCGTTAGAATTAGAAACGGAGTTCCTCTGAGCACTTCCCGAGCCCATGACTTGGTTTTCAGTACCTGAACCAGGCTGCAGTGAGCTCAGTGTCCTTCCATGCTGACTTGTGGTTGCTCCCATTGCTGTCTGTATATCAGCAGCCTAATTTAGATTCTCACCACTGTTAAACAATGGGGAGTTTTGAAACCCTTGGCCATCTCCCGCAAATCACAGAAGGCAGATCCCTATTCCCCTTCTGCCTGCCCCTGACAGCATGCTTCGGAAATGCGCACGCTTCCTGGCTGCACCAGTACCAATCACGGTTATCTAAATGTCTCTTCTAAAGGTTACATGCTTCATGAATAATTCCTTCAGTTCTCTAACCTGAAACTTCTCTAAGTAAAATAATCAGTGAGTTTGATGGGAGAGATAATGGGGCCATAATTACAGTAGAAGATACTGCATTTTAAAGAACACCGATTTAAAGGTCAGCTTGGTACCAGAGGTACTGATGTCCAAACAGCAACTCCGCAAGGCTACCGTTGGGCATTACTGTGCGTGCTAAATACACTGTTGGCACATGAAAAAAGTATCATGGCATATAATTCTTCTTTTAAAAATTGGGAGGACAATTCCACTTAATAACACATGCTGTAAAGCAGAGTGGGGTGTTTTTGGCTTGGCTTTTTGTGGCTAGCATTAGTCATATGAGCTAATTAGATGTTGATCCCAGGAAGCTATTTAGTTATTCAAGGTGCAATCTTATGCAAGTTTGGAGGGGGTATGTTGGGAGGTGTGCAGGCCCTTTTTTCCTGGCTAAATTGCATAGGGTTGCATCCTCGCTTGTCTTTAAAAAAATCCATTTGCTTCTGCATTCATCATCCACAAAGCCAAAGTCCTAACATTAAAACCAAGCAGCAGTAAAAACAGAAACAACAGGACTAGAAGCCTTTAAAAACACACACATCGCACACATGGATGCAAACGCACAATGTGACACAAAGCAAGACAGCACGGCGCCTGTGCATGTATACAGTCCATTAAAAGCATAGGAGGATGGAGCAGTTTGCCCAGAATAAGGTAGTTTTATGGCTGAAGGCTAACAAACGGGGTTCCTATGGTGCTGCCTGGTGATGAACCTCTTTAAGGGGTGTGTTTCAGCACCAGGGATCGCTCCTGTGAAGCTGCAAAGAATAGATGCGATAGAGGCCCCAGTGACATGGGACTCTCCCACCGTTTCTGTCCCCAGTTGTGTTTTGGCCAGCTCCAGACACTCCGACACCCCACTGCAACCTCATCAGGGAAATACAGCACAGCCAGATAAAAAGAAGAAACAACAGAAGAGAGTTTGAGTTCACAGCAGCATTACAAGAAAAGAATCACTTTTCTCTTAAAAATATATATATTAATAGCAGTCCACATATCTGAATAACTGTATACACCTGGAGGATATTCGTTCTAGCTTTAGGCAGACAGTAAGACCACAGTCCAACCTTCCATGTCAATGTTTATTTTTTCAAGCTTGCAGTGCAAGCATCTAAGGGCACTCAAAATTCACTTTCCCTGTCTGTCTAATATAGCAGGATAAAATTTAAAAGTACACGGGCTCCTGCAAATACCAGTGATTTTCCTAAAATAAAGTTTTGATACGAGCAATATTTTTCAACCAAAAAGATCTCTGCTGCTTTTCAGCTTTGGTCTGTTCTTTAGAGCACTCTGCCTCCACCTCCCTGGGAGGTGCATGGTTGAGTTGGATTTGTTTTTTTTGGTAAGGATCATGCCCTAAATGTAGTTTTGTGACAAGGGCCCATGCGGTTCCACAGTTGTAACCTCAGGTTGCTAGCATTGTCCCCCAGCACTGTATCCCCTCCACATGCATTTCTTATCTAATCCTTTGGTGATGTTTTTGGATTGTGGGGGGCAGTTCTGAACATGGCCTGGTTCCCATCTTCCTCTTGGCAGCAAAGCCAATCTTAAAAAGCTACCACCTTTGAAGCAAAGGCTTAGCAATCCGCTTGCTTGCAGCTTCAGCAGTTGTACAGAGGTTAAACATCTGGTTTGTTGCTAAGCCAACTCTTGAACTTTCTGTTCGGGGTTGCCTCTTGTTGCTTGCTTGTGGACAGAAATGCTCGTTTTAAAGAGCTCACTGTTCTGTGAACCTCGTGAAGATACTGGCACACGTGGTTTCCTTACTGAGTTCTGTAAACCTTCTCAGATGGAGAAAGCATGCAGCTTCTTAAGATCTTGGCCTTCCCCCCTCTCATTAGAAATGTTTGTCAGTGCTGTCCTTCATGTTGGCTCATGTATCTCCCTGCTCACAGTTTTCTAAAAATATGCATTGTGTTGCATTCTGCAATATTTATCGGAGAACGGTTGCTTTCTGCAACTTTGAAAAAATTAATCCAGAACATGGATGTGACATAAGGTAGATAATCCAACAAAATATCTTAATGTACACAGTGGAGTTTTCAGCTTTTTGGCCCAGTTCAAATGCAAAGATGCTAAGAAAAAGTCCTTACGTGCTCCTAGGTTAATCAGCTGAAGCATTTTTATCCTGCTTCTCAGCCAATAAATAAATCTGGCCTGTAGTCTAAAGGACAGGACACAAAAGGAAAAGGGGATGGGAAGGGAAGTGGTAGGAGAGAAAGCCAATGGTCCTCAGCGGGGATAACTCACAGCACTAAACCCAAGTCACATTTCCTTGAGATTTCTACTTTTTTGCCTGGCCAGTTCTCCAGATGAATCTCCCAGCAAAGATTTTATTCAGCTCTTTTGATAAGTGGCTCCTACAAATCTGGCCACTGCAACTCATTTAGGTATTAGGGACATTATTTTGGCTTGTTGATTATCATTGCTCTGTAGCTCTCATCCAGTTCAATTTTCCCCCAGAATATAAGGAACAATGAGATAATTAGTGGCACTGGCAGTATTTTAATTGACATTGTTTTAAAAACAAAGACTCTTGAACCGTCAGGTGGGCAAAGGGTGAAATGCCAGTGCTGAATCTGCCTTAAGAAAAGCTGATGAAACTCCATTCTTTAAACATTGTATGATTTCACACTAATGCTGCTATTTGCTATTCAGAACTAGATAATGATTTTGAAACTTTCTTGGGGTTCCCACTGGCTTCTGTTTTAAGACGCTGGAAATAATAGAAGGACTTTGTTGTAAAACTGTGAAATTCTGCGAGCATTATTTGTGCTCTGGTATTTGTCCTTGATATGTTTCTGGAGAATAAATTTTGCAGCATGTTTGGTTGCTTCATCAAGCCTCACATCTGTGCTCATTATGCCAATCAAATGCAGTGTGGTAGTAATTAAGATTGTTGGGCTGAGACTCCAGTTCAAACCCGGCTCAGCCACAGAACCCGCTTGGGCCAGTCCCTGATCCTAACCTTAGCCTATTTCATAATGTTGTTGCAAGGATAAAATGGGAAATGCCATGTAAGCCTTTTTATAAAGTTATTAGTTCTGTCAGTGGTGCATTTTGTGTTGGTTTTAACGCTTTATTGTAATTTGCAATTTTTGTTTTTATATTGTATTTCATATTATATTTATGGTTTTGTTGCTATACCTACCCAGGGAGCCTTGTGGCTAATAGGGCAGGCTAGAAATCCCACAAGCGGAGAAACAAGCAAGCAAGCCAACCAACCACCTGGGGTTCTTTACAAGAGGCGTACAAATAAATCAGTGAACATCTCCTCCTCTCTCCTCTCAATGGCAGGTTCCTGGAGATCTGAGCCAAACATCTGAAGACCAGAGCCTGTCAGATTTTGAAATGTGAGTTGGCAGAAAGTTTGGCGTTTGAAGTGTCATTTTCTCCACGGCTTCAAGGGGGTAAAGCGGCGATAGAATCGTCGCGTGGTGGCGTTCCTGATCTGAGAGCGAGCTCCCTGTGCTGCAGCGACGCCCCACTTACTTGGCTGGGGATATTATCCCAAGCATTCTGTTCCGACAGAAGCAGTTTGGCAAGCAGGACAGCCCATCTGGCTGGGTCCTCCTCCCGGGCTATTTCTTCGTACTTGCGTGCATTCAGAGAGCTCTCTGTTTTAAACCTCTCTCTTCTCATTCAGATCGAATCGCGCTCTCATTAACGTCTGGATCCCCTCAGTCTTCCTTCGTGGAAAAGCAGCTAATGCATTTCACGTTTATCAAGTAAGTCAAGGATTATTGTGTGGAGGGAATGAGTTGCCCCCGCCATGGACTTAGGGGCTTGGGTGATCCCAAGAAATCGGTGTGCCAAGTCCAGGTTTACTCACAAGGAGGCTGGTTGTTCCAGCAAGCAGATTGCTGGCAGGCTTTGCCAAGAGTTTAGCAAAGAGATCCCTTACAATGCTTTGCATGGACAAGACTGGCTTCAACCAGCTGGAACAGACGCTTAGCAAAGCCCCCTCTAAGACAGTAATCCAATCAAGGCAAAATGGCCAGCTTAGATAGACTGCTCATGAGGAAAGGGCTGGCTGCTACACAAGTGCAGAGGCTAAGCGGGGTGAAACGACTCGTTTACTTCGTTAGCAAGGCAAAGTGAATACCATACGCAGCTTCCCATCACTGGACTCGCAGCCCATGAAGCTTCCCATCCGTGTTAGCCCGTCCCAAGCCATGGCGATGGAAGTCTCCCATCCTGGCCAGGCCAAATTTTCCCACCCCATGTGTCACAATAATAGCTCCTTGTATTATAAGTTAATTAAGCCAAGCATACAACAATGCACAAGCTCATTAGTGAGCTCAATAAGGTGCATCTTACTCAAAATGGAGGACCGTTCTGTTCCCAGGGCCTTCTGGAAAACGGTATCTTGTAAGGGCAGCACTAGGCTAGGCAGAGACTGTGCTTTCACAGCCAGAAACCAAAGCCTGGATTTTGCAGCCCAGACCCAATATAGGGAAGATGAATCCTGTTGAGTATTTTCATTATTTTTGCTTAGATACCTTGCCTAGTACACAAACCTGGGATGGATGTAACATATTAAATTCCACTGGTAACCTTTTAATTGCATATATTACGATGGGAGAGAAATGTATGTGGATCGCATTTTAATATGAACTAACCTGATTGGGGCTTCCTGAACTAATATGTCAACCAGAACAACATTATCGTTCAGTTTTGTACTTTTCCCTGGTTTGCAATTAGAGCCTCCAGTCAGAAAATGTATACAAACAACTGTGCTTGCATTTAGGAAAACTCCCTGAAAAACATATATTAGGGAAAGTTGCTTGTAAAAATGCCTATGTTAGAAGCAGTTGTGTACACAATTGAATGAGAGTGTGTGTGTGCACACCAGTGTAGTGTGTTGGTTCAGAGTGCAGGACTGGGACTCAGGCAACCTGGGTTTTAGTCCCCATTCAGCCAGGTGGCCGTCTGGGTGACTTGAGCCAGTTGCAGACTTTGAGCCAGGCCTACCTCACAGGGTTGTTGTTGTGGGGATAAGATTGAGAGCAGCAAGAGGAGATTGATGTAAGCCGCTTTGCATTCTTTGTACGAAAGAAAGCTGGGCTATAAACCTAATGAATGAGTGGACAAAATAAATAAAGTGAAAGTATATGAAAATGCAAATACACATTTTGGTAGGGGCTACCAAATGTAACAATGGATTTTTATCCATTGTTTTATCCTGTGTTGTATAATAATTTATTAAATTTAAGCGATAATAATCATTTTTAGTTTTTAATTAAAATAGTATATATTAAGATGATGGTGGTGGCGGCGGCGGCGGCGGCGAAGTTGATGATGATGATGTTGCAGGCAGTTATTTCAGGCCTTATTTCAGGCCTCCTATGACAAAGGAGTGATACTTGAATGCTGCTTCTTCCAATATTATCTGTGTGGTCTTCTTCAGAGGTAGGGGAAGACATGCCCTTCTGCCCACTGTTACTCCTGCCAATTAGAAATTACTTGTTGCTTTTGTTTTTTTCTTTTTTCTTTTGCAACTGTGCCTTGTATTACACTGCTTTAATTAATATCTTACACTTGCAGGTTTACAAACATGCTCCATGAAAGAGAAAAAGAACACCTTTTTTGTAGTACTTAGGCAGCAAAGAAGAACCAATAGCAAACATGTGTTAACCACAGTTCCAGAAAATACTCTGGAAAACATTTTCTACTTTTCACCAGTATGTTCACCCCAATTCTTTAATTGCATTTCTCTCGGTAGGATACATTGCCCCGTTGGTTTGTGGTGTTTCCGGAAGGCCATTTGAAAAGTGGCCACGGCAAACTTTGATCATGAGAGGAGGAAAGAGACCTGATTGGTGTGTCTCTGGTTCCTACTGATTTAAATAGGAAGAAATTGTGCTTAATTCCATTTTTGCTTTCAGGATTATGACTGATGGGCCAAAAAGGGCAAGACCTGTGAACAGTTCCCTCTCCTTGTGATCTGCCTTTTTGGTGCTGTGTCCCTTTTTATATTCCAGATATCTTCCCAAACTCAGCCAGTGTCTGAGCTGAAATGATGGCGCTTATCTCATCATTTCCAGGTTCTGTCCTTTTCATCAAAAGCTCTCCATGTGTTTGCCTCTAATTCTCCCTGGAGAAAGTATTCCCTTTATTTCTGTTACTTCTAGGTATTTCCAAAAATATTCAGTTATGTCCTTGTTTCATAGCAGGAATGCATTCGTTAATGGATTCCACTGATCGGGAATTTTGTAGCATCTTTGGGAACCAGTGAAGAATTTGAAAGTAGAATTTCTTGCAACCCTCTGCTCTCCATTTCACCATCTGCTGAATTTAGGGTTGCTTTAAGAAGGGTTTCCATATCCCCATGTGTTAAGATTATCAGGAACTGCCCTTCTGGCTAGCGATGTTTGACAAAAATCCAATAAATAAACTACATTGGCTCTCCCGCACCCTCCGCCATTTAGCATTATGAATGAAAACACTTCTTTTGGAAGACACACCAGAGAGTGATTTGGCCAAAATGTGGTTCTTTTGCCGCCCACGTGTTACAGCAGGGACTTTATTTTTAGGCTTTTCTCAGTGAACAATTATGTTTATGTAAATCAGAGGTGAGACGAGTCCAGAATTTTCACATCCAAAATACTTAATTTTTTTTAAAGTTTCTAAGCAAATTGAATACCTATGCAGTGAGCTAACCCTGATTATTCTGTTTGAGTAGAACAAAGAATTATAATTTTGACTGCAACAAAACTGTGAGGCGGATAAGACCATGCAGCCCAGAAAAATTATGTAACCATGACCTAAACAAGGCAGTAATTTTCTTTAAAAAAATTCTACAGTTTAAACCATAATTGCAATTTTCTGTGCTTGCACTGTTAGCATCCCCCTTTTTTTCTTGACCAAGAGTTGCTCAGTTCCTACTACTAGTTCCTGCCTTGAAACAACACCTATTAATATTTGGACAGTTGTTTTGACTAGAAAAGCCCCCGCTTCCTGAAGGGCAAGGGAACAGTGGCAACATGGAGCAAGAGGGAGAGGCAACAGTGGTGTAGTGGTTACAGCAGAGCTGGGGAACCTTCAGGCCAGATGCTGCCAGTGGGGATCCACCGTGTGGCCCACCAGCTTCTTCCAGCCGTGTCCCCTCTCCAATCAGGGAAAAGCTGTTTTCTCCGATGAGCAGCTGCTCCGAGATAAGAGCTCGGCCCTGCTGGGGAGAGGAGTGTGGCCAGGAAAGGAAGCTGTGGCATCATGGAGGCCTGCTTCCTTCTGAATACTTACCAGAGCCACGATTCAAATGCATATGGCCGAGTTGCTGAGTGAGAGGTTTGGGAATGCTGGCCTACAGGCCGGAGAAACTCAGGTGTGATTCCCGACATTTTAACGCTGATTAGTCAAAGATGGATTTCCTGTGAGCCAGGTCCTCAGGCCTCTCCTTTTGCCTCTGTCTCCTGTGACATTCCGTCGTTTTCTTTCTTATTTTATATTGTTTCTTAACTTAACCATCATTGCCTCTCCTAGCTGTGCCAAGCCCTGCAAATACCAAATATTGGTTTTCACTTTTCACTTGCTGCTAATTGCAGTTTTTACATTGTTCATACCTGATGTGTGCATGCACACGCACACACGCACACCCTTGTCCATGAAGCTTGTTGCAGTGAAGCTTTCGGGAACAGGGTGGCGGTTTTTCAATCTGTTTTTTTCCAGGATTCTGCACAAACCTTTTGTCATAGGACAGTCACGTTCACTGAGCGAACACAAAGCAAGACTCTCATCAGCCCTGACAGGATCCCAAACAAACAGCGTCTCGCTGGTGTTCTGACAACTTGCCAGTTCAGCCCTATATTCAATTTCTCAAATCAAAATTTCCCTGGACAACACCTGTCAAGCAGCAGGGCTGGCCTCCCTTTGTGCGGTGGCTGAGCAGCGCGGCGATGCTTTTGGTCAGCGGGTTCTGCAGTTCTTTCTTAATAAAGGCGAGATTTGCCCATACGCCCACGGTTCCCACACACCCTAATCTAAAAGTTCTGAGAATGTCAGCACAATTTCATTAGAGAGAATGAAAATACTTACTTGGGGTAAATTCTTGTTCTGACGAAATGCAGGCCGGCACTCTCGCACCCTACCTGTTGTGAGATCAGATTATAGAAACAGAGAAACAGAGCGAGTCAGAAGTGGCCTCCTGGGCCATCTAGTCTGACCCCTGGCTCCAGCCGGCTCCGCTCACGACATGCCCACCATGTGCACGTCCAGCCTGTCCTTGAACACCTGCACCGATGGGGCCTCAGCCACCTCCCGTGGAAGCCCATTCCACACCCTTGGGGTCCTGGCTATCAGAAAGTACTTCCTGGCATCCACCTTGAACCTTGGTTCCCTGAGCTTTGCTCCACTGGAATGTGTCCTGCCCTCCTCCACAGAGGAAAACAGGTCACAACCCACCTCCTCATGACAGCCCCTCGCACACCTATATGTCGCTAACAGGTCCCCTTGGAGTCTCCTCTTCTTGGACAGTGGGTCCAGGCACGGAAGTAGGTAAGGACCTCCTGGGTGGCTTTCCTCCTTGATTCTTGCCTTGCTGTTCCTTGTTCTCTTGGGCTAGTGCGTTGTGTTCCTATTTTCTCTTTCCATGTTGGAGTTTCCTGCTCTAGAAGGGGGAAAGAAATATACCCAATGGATTATGACTGTCCTCCTGCCATTTTTGGGAAGGCTGATTTACCATAAGTAAATGTTTATTGTTCTGTGCCATCGTGTTATCTCCAGTTTA